ATCTTGTCATTCAAAAAATCTGTACATGAATATTCGTAAGAGCATTATTTATAATAGCTCTAAAGTGGAAACAACCCAAATATCCATCAACTGATGACTGGAGAAATCAAATGTGGTAACATTCATAAAACAGAATATTATTCAGCAGTAAAAAGGAATAAAATATTTACATGCTATGACATGTATGAATCCTGGCTCATTATGCTAAGTGAAAAATGTCAGATACAAAAGGCCACATTGTATACGATTCTATTTATTAAAAAATGATCAGAATAGGCAAATCTATAGAGACAGAAAGTATATTAATGTTTGCCAAGAACTATGCGGATTAGGGAATATTGAGAGTAGGTGTTCACAGATATGGGGTTTCATTTTAGGGTAATTTAAATACTCTGAAATTAGATAGTGGTAATGGTTGCACAATCTTGTACAGACACTGAAAAAAGCAATCATACACTTTAATATAATACATTTTATATGAAATTTTATGGTACATGAATTACATCTCAATTTTTTATATATCCATAATGGCCTGATCTTTGACTTATTTTTTTCTTTTTTTGTATCTGTACCTTTCTGTAGCAAAATTTTAGAGGCACTCCTTTATAGTTAAAAAGCACAGTTACTTCTCAGAGTGCTCCCCATCTCTCTGCATTACCCTTCACCCAATTTTCTATTCACTGCAAACACCCACACACATATACCAAAGCAAAACCTAGGATGAAAAATGTTAACTTCGGGTAACATTTATAAGCATTTTCATTTCTATATTTAATATAATTAGTCTGGAGCGGGGGCTTATATTATGTAGACAATATACCTCAGTGTCAAGGGTTTTCAATACCACAATGATCCGAGCCTGCTGAGAATCCCCAATTAAATACTTTCCTGAAAGGCTGTGAGCAACTCACAGTCTGTTGTGGTGACGATGGCTCCATCAGTTTCCTTTCCGCGGCCTTCACCACCTCTTTCTAGCAACTTGGGACATTCTCGTCCCCAGATAATCCTTAAACTGGCTGCTCGGCACTCTATAGCATGCACAGCATTCATGAAGTATTTTGTATACAGAATATACAAAAAATACTTACTGAATAAAACCATCCTCATTTCAGAAAGTAGAGTCATGGCTTGTGCCAAGTGTCTCTGCAGGAAAGCAGAGTTTCCTGGTCTCCAGCGTCACTGATCTGAAACCAGGACACACCATGCTCATGGGAAACTGGGGGGAGTTTAAAGGAGATTGCCATTATCAATTGACAGTAAGTAGACATACAGCTTTTAGTGACCTAGCCACTGTTGGCACTAATTATCATCACTGTGATGTTCCTCTGAAAGAGGAATCAAGAAAGGAACCAACAATCTACTCAATGAACATTATGCACTTTCTTCTTGTTTTTACAGAAAAAACTGCCAACTCAGAGTAGGAATAAAACAGTGTCCTCCAGCCAGACCTAGATCCAATACTGAAACACGCACAACAGTCAGACAAAGATATGGGCCCAGATTTTTTTTTTTTTTTTTTTTTGTAAAGCATTCTCTCTAACTTGATTAACCTACACCATTGAAACTGAGCAAGCGGGCAGAAATGGAACGCCTGATTCTCATTCTGACATGTTCAAGGCAAAGGAGGCCCTTTTTTTCCCCCCTGAAGCTGACCAAGAATAATTATTTCATGATAAACAATGGCCTCCAAATTTCCAGCAGTCTAGGCAAGAGGTTGGGGATGGGTATAAAATAAACAAAGGCACTGATTTTTATATTTTATTTAGAAAAACAACTCGGGCATGGACACTGAACTGTACCTTTTCTTTGGTGCACCTTTCAAATGATAATTCCTTCCACTGTCACCATTAAATCTTAATCCATTCCAGCTCCTTGCATGGGTCATTGAGTCTATATGTAGTGCTGTTATTTTAAAATGTTTCCCCTTGGTAGGGAAAGAGGGGGAGAAAAGATGTTGAGAGCCAGATGGGCCTCTTCACAGTTCATTTATCAAACCTAATACGCTGGGCTCCACCCTCCTCTGACTCACTATTGCGGTTAAACTTCCATATAATTTGGTAATCATTTTCATTATCAGAGAGTGACCCCAAAGCAGCCTATCCTGGGATACCCAGTCGTTGCAGCTGCTCTTTTTCTGCCTCCGTCTACAGTAGACCCTAAGAACCTCAGAGTTTATTAGCTGCAGACTGACCTTTGGGCTGTGGAGGTCAAGAAGGGGTCAGATCAGAGGGCTTGCTCAGTTCTTTAAAAGCTATAACAAGCTGTCCATCAGGCAGAGTGGACTGTATAAACAAAGACAAATCTTCAGAAATTCTGTACCACTTCTGTTAACACTTACCCTGCATTCACACAGCGTCTCCTGACGTTCTTTGGATCATTCAACTCTGGGGAAGTGAATAGACAGCCCTAATAAGCCTATTTGGAGAGGGCTGTTTATGGGATTACCGAGTTTGGGGAAGGAAACCCACAGCACTCAGATGTGCCTCTAGAATCGCAGGGTTGTGTGACACTGTGACAAACTCGGTTACCCCGAGTCATGCAGAATTGACACTTTCCTCAAGAAGCTCAATTACAGGCAACATATGCTTTCGGTTTAAAAGACTGCAGCGAGTCTCAAACAATGGCTGGGCTCCTGGCCTGAGAAAGATACAAATATTTGGGGACCGAGTTACAAGTTGCCTTGAAAATATTCTGCCTGATCTGGTGATCATAAATGAACCTGCCGCCGAGAAGGTTTATTACAATAGACTTACGCTCAAGTTATTGCCAGCTGCAGAGTCTCGGCTGACCTAAATTTCTTGAAACTGTACAGTTCATAATGCATTCTCCAATGTGCAATATAAGATAATTAGAGTCATCTGTATGTAACTTTCAGAGGAAAAAATTTCTATTATCTAATCTAACTGATCCCCTGATAGCTTTGATGAAAGTAAAATGCTGTAACCTATTGCCTGGCCTTTGGTGAGTGCTAATTATTTTCTGTCAAGGCACATTTTTCCTCATGTAATTCCAAAGTACACAATAGGCCAATCTCTGAAACCCAGGCGGCTGGGTAGGCCCTGCCGTGGATGTTTTATAACTTTCACCACACGCTGGATGGCTACTCCAGGCAATGCCTCACTCCAGACGGCCAGGGGACGCTTTGATGAGGGGAAGAGAGGGATATGGTGACTGTCTGTTTACACAGATCATATGGATGAGTCTTTGAGATAGGGCACCAGGGTGGGAAACATCACATGGGGGTGAAGAAGAGCTGGGGGAAGACTGCGGTTATTCAATACTCTGAGGATACTTGGCCTTCGGCACACTGGAGACATCACCCTCTTGAAATTGTCTTTCAGGTGTTTGGTTTTAAGGGTGTCTGCAGAGTGTCAGCGGCTAAGCTCTCTCCCTCCTCCGCCCCTGCCACAAAGGACTTAAGAATTTTTGTTTCAGATGCTAGACTACATCAACTTCAACACTGGCTCCAGCTCCTGATTAAATTGTTAGCAGTAAGGGCCAGAAATGCTGAAAACAGACTCCTTTTCAAACAGGCCATTTTGGCCATGTTGTCTGAGGATTTGGTGTGTTAGGAAATTATTGTTAACAAACCAAATGCACTCAACACAGGACGGCCATGCTCAACATCTGCTCTTTCTGGACTGCGCTGTCTTTGGGAGAAAGGGTGTGGGAAAGAGATTACAGGGGAATTCTTTCTTCCTCCTTTTCCTATTTAATAAGAATCACCAGGAGGAAGATCGGATACATCGAACAGGAGGATGCCTCTTTCATGTCGCCATGCTGATGCCCTATTACTGAACAAAACGCAAGGACCTGAACGAATATAACACTTAGATAGTCCTACAAAAAGAGTCTAAAATTATGGAAAGTTAAATTGGAATTATTCAGACATTATTATAGTTGAAACTGCTTGTCATTTGCTGTAGCCACACAAGAAAAAGGGGGAATATTATTATGAGTTTTTAAATTATTATTTGCATGCAAGTCTGAATCTAGAGATAATACACATATTTGAAAAAAAAAAGTAGCTTTCTGATATCCAATCCGAATCAATAGTTCATACTGTCTCCTTTCTTGGAAAATGCTCATCTCTTCAGCCTTGTTCAGACAAATCTATTTTTATGATAATTATTACTAGTGAAGCTATCAATTATTATAAACGCTGTTATATGAAGTCACTTGGAGAATATGACGGCCATCAATAAATGTTCTTGACTTGAGGCACACAGAATTTTTATGTATCAAATAAGATTCTGAGACAAAATACAGTACAATCTTTCCAATTCCTCTCCCTCTTGCTTACAAATGGATGATGATTCTTTAATTTTTACAAACCATGGATGTAAAGGAGAGCTCTCACACTTGGAGGTACTAGTTCCAACCTTCCATGTATCAATTATCTTTTCAAAACGGAGCAGGGTAACATGCTATTCATGATGCAAGCACACTAATTCTGTAAAAAAGTGATGATTCGTAGAAACTTTCCACCAGTAACAGCTTTCTAACCACAGGCAACTCCATGTAGAAAGAAAGTAGGTTGGAGCAAAAAGTAATTCCTATCTTGGTCGATTCTAAAAATGGGGTAGAAAAAATAGACTACTTTCGAATAATCTGCTCTGCATCCAGTGACAGAAGAGCACTATATGGATTTCCCAGACATCTGCCTGACTGAATAGCAATGCAGGCCTTCTAGACTGCTGAGTAAAGAAGAGCTTTTCAGCTTCGGGTACTTACATTACATTATGCTCAAGATGCAAACATGTATGCTAAACGTTACCCAGGGAGAAATCACATGCACATACAGACGGTGTCATGGATCATTACAATTAATGTAGGTTAGCCTAGGCAGGAGAACTAACTTTAGCTGCAAACGTCTTAAACTTGCTTATTTTTCACGGCCTCTCAAATGAGAGGGACGAGACCAGTGGTAAGGAAAGGCTTAGCCAAATATAGCTCTTGTTTGTCAGGGACAACAAATCCCATTTCATGACAAAACTAACCTGGCATGCCACTCCCTCCTCAGGTTCTGGCGTGTGGTGAGCGGGGCAAGGATGGCCGTCAGGATCTCATTCCTTTGTTCAACGGGGAGCCCCTCTCTTTTAACTTCCCGAAGCACAGCATTTGTCTAGAAGAAAAGATCAAAAAAAAAGAGAAAGAAAAAGTGAAAAATTAATAATAAAAAAAAGCCCATAAGCAAATAAGGACAGTAAATCAATGGCTTTTTTATTACAGTTCCCCTGCTAACAAATCAATACGGTAAATGATGGCCAAAAATGGCCGGCATATATTTTGTATTTAATCAATGTACATGGCACATAGGTAAACTCCAAAGCTCCATTGCCTTAAGTAACACATCAAGACACTATGCCTTCTCACTCTAATTTTCTCAGCAACCAACGATTTTTTTTTCCCTGGGAATTGCCTACCATGAGCTATTATTAGAAATGATTTTCACGTACACTTCGCTGTGAGTTGTTTGTTTTGCCTTTTTTTTTAAAAAAAAAGAGCAGTCTCTGACTTTCACACTCTGATTCCTGCCGCCCAGCTGAGGCTTTCTGCACTGCCTCGTATTTGAATCATTACTTTCAATTTCTACCCATGCCAATGATTTTGGGGGGTAGGGGTGGGAGGAGGGGTTCCATTCATTTTCTTTGCTTGCTGCAAATTCAGATCTTGCAAAGAAAGAAACAAGCACAAAAATCACAAAGACTAGTATATCTCAACACACATCTTTAGATTTTTCTATATATTATTTTTAATTTAAAGTCAGTGTGGCTTCTTTGGAGATTTTACAACCAAGGCAATGGCTAAAAGGAATGGAACTGTCACTTTCTGGGCTCTGGGCCCTTAATACCATATACTCCTTATCTAATTGACGCAGTGTAGCTGATGACTTTCTTGCACTCATAATTGATTCTTACCGTAACATGAAAAACGACTCCTCTATGGTGTCTTACAATGTGTATCTAATATCTTCATGACCACCTAGAGAGTGGTGTGGTGAATATTTGTTGTTTCTGTTCCCTACATCCATACCTGGTCCCCTGGCAACAGCACCCAGATTACCTCTTGGGAGAGTCTTTTCCCTTGGTGTTTGTAGTCTTGGATTCTCTTATCTTGGATTTTAGACCCATGAGAAGAATGACAAAGACAGAGGAACAATTGGCGGCTATTCATCTATTTCTTTAGTTGCTGTCCCCCCATGGTCCTTGAGGTACCCCTGGTTTCTTGAACCTTCTAAGTCCAGATCATTCTCTTTCCTTTGTTAGGTTGAGTTTTCAATATCATTTAATAAAGTCTCATTTAGTTTCAATTTACCAGAAATTGATTTTATTGCTTAGAATGAAACCCTAAATGACACAAACAGATAAGGTAGGAAATGGTATCTTCATGGTGACGGATCCAAGATTAACCTGACTAGCACCAGCTGGGAAAAAGATGCTGACCTCTGCCTCTTGGTCCAGTATTGCATTGACTAGACTGTGCAGATGGACCCAGCTAGACATGCATTCAGCTCCCCCCACAGCAACGGTGTCAGGCTCCAGCCAGAGAGAAATGCTCCCCTTCTCCAGGCAATTCCAATACCTGAAACTCTGAATCCAAGGGCTGCAAATTCAGAAACCCACTAGGGCCAAGCAGATAACATGAATGGGCTCAGCAAAGGTTACCCAGAGAGAGCACGTGATCTGTCCATAATGGCAGCCACTCTACAGTGCCTGCCAACTCCCCCATTCAGAAAAGCTGGCTTAGGAGTGCCAGGTTCATGAAGTTTCAAAATAAATAAGAAATTAATGGGGGTAGGGGTTAAATACAAAAACTCCTGATCTTGTAAATGCTATAAACTGATGTCTAAAAAAATGTTTTTAAATACCACGTGGCGTCAAACAAGATACACCAATGGGCTGGACAGAGCGTAGGCAATTGCCAATTTGTGACCTCTGATCTAAAGCTGTCTAATTTCAGAGGGCTCTGGTTATCAATGAGGATTCTAACCACAGCACTTCTCCTTGCCTGTGACACCTTATTTCACGCAGTTAAAGTTGGAAGGAGCGTCAAAAAGCCATATAGTGCATTGCTATATCTTGCATACATGTTATTTTACCAAAATATAAAAAATGTATAAAATAGAATTCCCATACACATCCAGATGGCTCCAAAACCTTGATGGGAATGGAATGAGTTTCCTCTCTGCATCTATTAGAGTGTTTTTTAAGGTCATTAAGCACTTCCATGCCTTTCACGTCACTTAAATTTTATCCACGGACCCTGAACAGCCCCCCATGAGGAAGGGGAGGAAGGATTTAAGAAAGTGAAGTTTCACAGGGCAGAGGACATGGTCTGTGCAGTTCACCACTGTATTTCTATTCTCTTTCTAACAAATTTTAATGAGCATTTGTCAAATCTATACATAAAGAAGGAACCTGAAAAATAAGTATTGCAAAAACAAAGAACCAGGGAAGGCCTTCTAAGAAATCCCTATTACATAAATAATAAATTCATAAAATAGATAAATTAAAAGAGAGTTGGGTGCTTTACCAAGGGGCTCTTCATCTCGCTAAAGGATCTGTGTCAAGGTCTTTTTAAAAACACAGATCTCCTAGTTCAGAGTTTCCCATTCTAGCACGCCCTCATGATTCTTGCCAGACATTTGCACAAGCTAAATAATTTCTAATGTTTGTCTTTAAAATGACCTAATTTTGTATTCATTAGTACATTACAGTTATATATAATAATAGGACTCATGTGACATGATCATGAATGCATAGAACACAGCTGGCTCATTCTCAATCACCAAGACTTCTCCTTCCCCTCTCTTCTTTCCTCCCTGCTGATCCCCTTTATCTACTACTGGTCTTCCTTCTATTGATTTATCATTGTTTAAATTGGTGCCTTATAGTTATACATAAAAGTGGAATTCATTGTGATGTACTCATATATGCCTATGGCCTAATTTGGTCAATTTCATTCTGCAGTTGCTCCCCTTACCCACCCTTCCACCCCTTGACCCCCTTCCTCAATTCCACACAATGGACCCATTTTTAAAACATAAAATAAATTCACTCAAAAGAAAAATGGAAAAAAACAGGGGTGCTTGTCATAAATAAGAAAACAATCATAAAAGTAAGTATATTAAAAAAAAACCAAGCCATATGTTTATCTTATTCTAGATATTACCACTTGCTAAAGGCTCTCAGACTGCAGCAGGCCCCTCCTTTGTAAAAGAAGATATTGACAAGGGCTGGAGAATATGAAAGATGTATCGGATTTAAATGAAGACTGCCCTCATATGCATGGATGCATGGAAACGAGGCCGGGAGGGATTCACTTTCTCACCATGTGTCCTTACTACACGCAGAGTCCCCAAGTGTCAAGTGGCATCACCTGGGTAGTACCTGTGGTCCACATCCCACACTCTAGATGCAATGCCCTATGCAGTGGTTCCTAACCACCTTGTAGATAAATGTAGTACCCTGCTAGTGCAGTCTTACATGGAACTCCAATGCACACAGAAAGTGAAACTGTAGCAGTTCTCCTTGTTTCTGCTATGGAGGCCCTCCAGCCCTCTCTTTCTCTTGGGGCATCTCCTCAAAACCTCAAAGCATTGTGAAACACAATTTGCCAAGCCCAATTCAAAAAGTATTTGATTTTTTAGAAGTTTATACATGGCTGGTGGGAATGCACATTATTGTGATCCTGAAAGCTGTCTGATAGCTACTTATAAAATTAAACATACACTTAACATCAGACCCAGAAATTCCATTTTTACGAATTTATCTAAAAAAAAAATTATGTTCACACAAAAACATGCATACAAATGTTTACAGAAGCTTTGTTCATAATCACCAAAAGCTGGAAGCAACATAAATGTTCTTCAAGTGTCAATGGGTAAAATACACTGTGGTACATCCAAAAAATGGAATACTACTCAGCCCCCCCCAAAAAGTTAAGAGTAACTGATACACGCCACCACTTGGATAAATCTTAAAGGCACTATGCTAGAAAAAAGGTTAAATGTTGCATGACATTCTAGGAAAGGCAATACTACAGGGACAGAGGACATATTTTACATCCTAATTGTAGTGGGGTTAAATGAGTGTGTACATATGTTAAAACTTGTGGAACTGTATGCCGAGAGAGAGGGAGAGAGAAAGAGAGAGAGAGAGAGAGAAAGAGAGAGAGAGAGAAAGGGGCCAGTTTTATTGTGCAAAAATTTTATAAAATTCAATTAAAAATTTCATTTCTACTACATTTTTAACAAGAAAGAATGCAGAGAACAAGTTTACAAGTAAACACATCTAATGAATAAGCAGTAAAAATACAGAGAAATATGGATGATAAAAATAAATTCCATTACAAAAATTTAGTTTCAACATTAGAATACAAAAAGTGAATTTAGATTCATCATTCAGACCCTAAAATGCAGTATGTCACAAAATTTAGGGTGAAAAGAAGTCAATGCACAAAAGGAAATTCTAGAATGTCAAAAGAGCATTCTTTTGACATGGCAATTAATGGTGATATTTTTCTCTTCATACTGTGTCAGCTCCTCAAGGGTCGACTTTCCCCAGGGAAATGTTAATAGGCCATTTTCCCCATTAGTAGTAACACAGAACTGTCTTCAGATAAGCACCAATTTTCGAACAGTCCCCTAATACCAGTCTCCCCTCAAAATAGAAGAACAAGCCACAAATAGGGAACATGCCAGGGAGGAGAAATTTCATTTCAATAATGATTCTTTTTCAATAGAAATTATGGAAATGTTGCCAGATCATAAAAGGCTAGGCATATCCCTAAGAGTGCTGGGTGTTCAAATCTCACTTGTTTCCTTGCCGAAGCTCATCTCCACATCTGCAAACAGACAGGAAGAGCAGGTTGTGGTGGGGATGAGCTGCCAGGTGCATACGCCACTCTGCTCACTATTGCTTAGTTTCCTCTTAAACGTAGCTAATCTACCTTGCGTGAGGTTGCTTAACAGAAGAATTCCTGAAAGTACTTATTACTTTAAGTGAAAAACATAAAGCAGACATCAGCAACTATTAACAATCACAGCCCAAAAAAACTTCCACCTGCACCAAGAACCAGAGGCAGAATCTTTTGCATATCCCAGAAGTGGCACATCACCTT